CCCCCGCTGCCTTTCACGTGATTGGCAATCAGGCTGGCTGTACTCTTCTCCCGAGCTGCCCTCCCAAACGCTAAGCTCTGTTGTTCCTGCCCCAGGCCCTTTGCACATTCACTCTCCTGGTGAAACTCTCCTCCGGGCCTTGTTCAGTGTAATCCTGCCTCCAGCTGCCCGCACCCCCCGCCCCGCGCGGGCCGGGCAGGCCCTGGGAGGCGTGGGCTCACGTGTTGTGGGAGGAGGAGATCCAGTAGTGGGACAGGGGGTTGTTCATGTCCTGCATGTCCACCGCGTCATACTTGTCGTCCCAGATGCTGTTCTCCCGGGAGAACAGGTAGGTGAGGAACTGCAAGAGCCACGGACGCGGGTCACACGTGGCACCGGGCAGAGCCGGGAGGCTTCCGCGCTGCGCCCACGAGGGCAGAAGCCGGCGCAGGCCCCGGCCGCGGTCACCCAGATCCCAGGGCAGACAGACGGACGACACGGGCCCGCACGTGTGCATGCGCAGGGACCCAGTGCTCAGCCCAAACTACTGGATACTGCGAGACACACGCTTCCGGCACGGAGACGGGTGTGTGTGTGTGTGTGCGTGTATGTGTGCGTGTGTACGTGTTTGTGCACGTGTGCGTGCACGCACGCGCTATGTGCTGGTACTGGGGCTTGAACTCAGAGCCTGGGTGCTGTCCCTGAGCTTTTCCATTTCTCTTTCTTTTTGCTCAAGGCTGGTGCTCTAACACTTGCGCCACAGCTCTACTTCTGGTTCTTTCTGATGGTTACTTGGGAGATAAGAATCTCACAGACTGGCTCTGACAGGATCCTCAGGTCTCAGCCTCGTGGAGCACTGGGATTACAGGCGTGAGCCACCCGTGCCCGGCTTCGGACAGAAGCTCGACGGGCAATAGTGCACATTTGTGGGTCGGCCACTGACAAGACACAAGGCCGTTCAGAACACCAAGAAGGCGGGCGATGTCTTAGCCTAACTCCTGGTCCTTGAAAAAGAGCAGCAGGAGCGGGAGCTTCCGGACCGCATTCACC